TACGGGGACACAGAACATGCCATGGTCACACATGGGGGTGGAACACACTGTGGTCACATACGGGGACACAGAACATGCCATGGTCACACATGGGGTGGAGCACACTGTGACCATACACAGGGACACAAAACATGCCATGGTCACACATGGGGTAGAACACACTGTGGGCACACACAGGGACACAGAACATGTCACGGGCACACATGGAGACACAGGACATGTCATGGTCACACATGGGGGCGGAACACACTGTGGTCACACATGGGGACAGAGAACACGCCATGGTCATACATGGAGATGGAACACACTGTGGTCACACACGAGGACACAGAACATGCCATGGTCACACATGGGGGTGGAACACACTGTGGTCACACACGGGAACACAGAGCATGCCATGGTCACTCATGGGGGTGGAACACACTGTGGTCACACACAGGGACACAGAGCATGCCATGGTCACACGGTGACACAGAGCATGCCATGGTCACACATGGGGATAGAACACACTGTGGTCATACATGGGGGCACAGAACATGCCATGGCCACACACAGGGACACAGAGCACACCATGGTCACACATGGGGAGTCACACACAAGGACACAGAGCACACCATGGTCACGCATGGGGATAGAACACACTGTGGTTACACTTGGAGACAGAGAACATGCCATGGTCACACAAGGGGAGGAAACGCACACCACGTTCATACATAAGGAGACAGAACACCCCTCGCCCTAAGGTCTGTGGGACGCTCTGAGCAAGCGTGAGCTCACATGGGCACTCATTCCACAACTCGCAGACCAGAATGCCCGGCCAACTGTGGAGGAAAAGCCAGCTGGTTCTCAGCCCCCAGGACCAAGGCCCTGGAGGGTGACTCCTAAGCAGCTGTCATGTAGATGTCCCAACAACAGGGCTATTGTTAACTACCCAGACCCATGGAACCTAATGCCAACACTGAGAACAAAGTTGAGATGAGGCTGGCCCAGACTTAGGGAGGCGGTGGCAATGTGCTCCTAGTGCACATGGCTGCAGCCACCCCACGGTCCCTCCCTGCTTCCCTACTGCTCAGGCAGTGACCTGCAGGAGTCCACTCTGCAGCCACCTCAGGCAGTGGGGTGACCACGGGGGTACAGGGCCCCCTTGCAGTTCCCGGTCTCTGGGAGCTCCTTTGGCAGCATGGGGTAGAGGGATTGGGCACCCCTGAGAACAATCAGGGGTCCCTCTAACAGGAAGGGCTCTGGCTCCCGCCTCAAGTGCTGCCCTTGGACCTCAGTCAGGTCGAGTCCCCACCCAGGGCCAGGAAGAGGTCTGGTCTCCAGAGCCCATGGGGGCTGCTCCACTGATCACAGCCTCAGACTGCAGGCTACTATATACACCACTGCACCCCTGCCCGGTCAGACAGCTAGCCCCAGTGCCCAGAGGATCCCAAGGCGCCTGCTCTGGGAGAGTACCTCCCTGGGGCCTCACTGTCCACATGGCTGGGCACTCCCACATGACCTTGAAGGGGACTCTTCCTGAAGCGGGGCGGGTGGGAGGGCTGGCTAGAAGCAGCCTGAGGCTCTGGACACTGTGGCCCGTGGGCAGTGGAGGCCCAGCCACCTCCCAACTCCAGGTTCACATTCCATGCCAGTCACTGGTAGATGGAAGGCGGGTCACAGTGCAAGGATGTCACTTCCTGGCCTTAGACCCCCACTCACCCCCAACAATGGTAGCGTCTACGCAGAGATTCACAGTCACAGCACTCATGTATATGTGACCCCGCTGGGGAATCGTAGGCACTAGCTCTCATAGCAAGGACATGCCAAATGGGGTGCTGGGTCCCATCACCCCACTAGAAATAACTGCAGGTCCCCGGCTGCCCTTTCTGGATCCGGCCAGGCCTCTTCCTACATGCTGCCTACATAGTTTTGTTTGTAAATCAGAGGGTGCTCAGGTCCAGCAGCATAGCTCTGCCCCGTATAATCCGGAAAGTAACAGGCAGGACCGAGAGCTGACCCTGAACAGTCCTGCTTAGAAACGTACCCACTGCAGGGCCAGGTACAAGAGAAAGGGTTTGCAGCCACTAGAACCATGATTGCAGGGTCCGGTCATCAGTGCCTCACTTTTAGAAGGTTCACCCACAGCACCGACCCCCTCAGAGTAGCATCTAGACCCAATGCAGACCTCCCCTCCCAGGAGGTCCAGGACCTCCCCTGCTCCTGGGGGGGTGGGGGTGAGGGCAGTGTTATCCTAACAGAATGGAACAGGGGATGGAGAAGGAGCCCCATCTGCTGGCTTCTCATCTCCCTGAGCTGTGAATGCAGCAGGGTCTGAGTCTGCCCCACCTGCAGGGCATCTCCTGGCCTCTGTGAATGGGGAGGGGGCTGCACAAGGAATAACCAGACCCAGACCCAGCACAGTGCAGCCCCCATGGTGCTGGCCACCCCACACATGGCCAGCCCAGGGCCACAGAGGGCGGAACGTCCCTGGGAGCCTGCTCACTTACCCACCCTATTCCCACGGAGAGTCTGACAGGAGCACACATGGGACCGTGTCCCCCCCAATGCCCCCACACCCTCTGCACCCTGCCCCATTGATGGCTGAGCCAGCGCACCTCCTCCCGGGCAGGCTGCCCTCCGTCTGGCCGTTGGCTCCGACCTGCTGCAGCTTGGCCCTCTCGATGTGCTCCACATATGTCTGGATCATCTGTGAGGAAGGGGCCATGTCAGTGTGACTGAGCCTGTGCGCCCCAGCCCCCCACCTGTTGCCACTCTGGGCTTTGGCCTTGCTGTGCCCTGGTGGAAGTCTGTCCTGGGTCCAGCATGCTCTTGAGCTGGCAGTGGAGCCCCGGGGAGACCCACTAGGACAGGCCTCGGCCCTGGCGGCCCCCGGCGGCACAAACCTCTGTGTGGCGCTGGTGCAGGGCATTGTACTCCTTCTTCATTTCCGACTCACGCTCCTCCAGCCGGGAAACTGCAAAGCACAACCATCCGAGTCAGCCGTGGGAACTGCTCACTGTCTCCTTGGGGGGGTGGGCGGAAGACTGGGGGTGTCCAAGCGGGACTGTGGTGATGCAGCCTTACAAAGTGGCCTTCAAGCCTGGGCTGGGGACAGGGACATGCCCACAGTATGAAGCAGCCACTCGCCCTCCATGACTTGGTCTGAACCCTTCAGAGGCATGAAGGTGATGAGGCTGTGATCCTAAAACAGATGCTGTAATTCCTAAGTGCTGGGCCTGTAGGAGGAGCCCTGGTGTGGGGCTGTCGGTTAAGCATCAGATCACAAACAGCAGTCGCTCCTCCGAAACCCTATCCAGGCTCACTAGAAGTCAGAACCAACTGGACAGCACTTAACAACAACACCACCACCTGAAGTTAGGAGCCCTGGTGGCATGGTGGCTGCTAACTGGAAGGTCAGTGGTCTGAACCCGCCCGATGCTCCATGGGAGAAAGAGATGGCAGTCTGCTTCCATAGAGATAGAGCCTGGGAAAGCGTCCGGGGCAGCTCGGCTCTGTCCGGCAGGGTCTCCATGACTTGGCATCAGCTCAGCAATAGGTTGGGTTGGGATGCCTGTGTACCTCCACTTAGAAATGGAGACAGAATTAGTATAGCATGGGTCTTCCTTCAGTCAACCTCTTATGAGATATAGAAAAAGCTTATTAGGACCGGCAAGAAGCTAGAGGTGGTGGAAGAGAGACGCTGGGGACACAGGAAGATGAACCAGGAGCAGAGAGCCTGAGGAAGGAGCCCAGGACTTGCCTTCAGAGCAGACAGAAGCAGGGATTCTTCCCCTACGGCTATAGCCCTCCTATGTGAGCAAACACATTTCTGACTGTTAGACCTTTCCACTTGTCTTATAGTAGTTCTGCTACTGCAGGTGCAAGCAAACGCCAGCACCTGAGGCATTTGGCACACTGAAGCCGGCTGGCCTGGGTCTGGGCCACACTCTAGTCTTTCTCTCTAGCCTTACTTCTGCTTTTCTCTTGTAGCTGGACTCCTATAAAACTTCAACTGCCCTTAGCAAGTCAGGGATTGTGTTCTAGGAAGCCTGCTGCACATTCCCTTCTTAGTACAACCGGTACTACTCAGAAAGAATGTTGATTTCAGGACAAGCCCTGCAAAATGCTCATCCGCATTGGTCGCAACGTGCCTGCAGATTATAAAAACAAGAGTGTGGTCTGTAAATGGAAACATCTGGGGTCTCCTGATAACCTGGGACTAATGATACAATGCTCCACTCATCACACTATCGCCTGTAGCTTCTGCTAGCTCTGGACTTAGACTGCCGTCTGACTCGAACTCACACACACACACTGTGTGTACTATTCTCACTGACATGCTTCCCGGTTCAAACTGCTTGTCCAAACTATCTATCTACTCCTCAACTAAACCCTGCTTATTTCTACAACATGTTCAGCATCAGGAGTGGGATTTCAACCGTGCATTCCCTTTAACAGCACGTGAGAGCCCGAGGACTTACGCTTTGGCTCCAGTCGGGCCATTTGAGTGCTCTGCATCCATGAACTCTCGCGTCATCACGAGGCAAATAACCTCTTCTATCTGCACGGAAGGACGCTCTCAGGAGTTTTATTGCTGGATCTGATTTTGTGATTGCAAGTACATTTTCCTACGTCTCTCTGGGAAAATGGTGAGTGGTACATGTAAGCACACCTCAAAGCCATCCTCTAGGACGCCTGTTCACTACGCGAACAAGCACTTTGGCGCTTTAATTTATGCAGTTTTATCTGGCATCACCTTAAAAGAGATTGAAGAACCGAAGGCCATTCTGGACTTTCTTCAGTTTACCTAAGTTAGTTTACCTCATTTTGCAGTAAACTAAACAGTAAGGTTCCCAAACTAAACAATTTCAGTGGGACACCTATTTTGACTGGTACCTAGAAGCTTCTAAGAGACATCAAGACAGTTAAACTGCTTCCCTACAGGACGGTGGATTCTCACTAACTAACAAAATATGGCTCTGTATGGTCAGCTTCCTGCTGCCCCCATTTCTGTTGCTCCCATGCTATCCCCCCTTACAGCTACAGTAAGAGACTCTGTATCTCCCTGGCAGAATAAATTAGGCTCGGAAGGAACGAAATCATGTTTGTATGATTGTTTTGAAGGAATCCCAGTCTTTCTGCTACAAAACTATGTGGACATGCGTTCAAACGTCTTCAAAGCTTCTAGGGCACTCACCATCTACAGAAAGACACCTGTGACAGGACAGACTGGGGCATGAGATGGGCCGGAGCAGCAGGCTCCCCAGCAACCTTAAGGCAACACAGGAACTCTGGGAAACACACCCAAACCCGTGGCCGACTTCCTGCTAGGAATTGTCTTCAACCTCTTCATGCCATCCTTAATAGATGAACCTGGGTTTTCCCTTACTAGGACACATTATAAACTGAAGACAGAGTAATCTGGAATTTCAATGGTCACTTTGAGCAAATAAATTCACATTGTGACACCGCTTCTTTCCTCTGGGGAACTTTTGTTTGATGCTCAGATTTTGTCAGAGAACCCAATCTCCCTTCATCTAAGAATTACTGTACACCATATATATTTTTGGAAGCTAGGTTCCTCATATGTCTGTCTTATGTGACACTAAATAAGCTTGAGTTTCACAGACCAGTAAGTTTATACAGCTTTTCTGCTTCATCTTGTTCTGAGAGCCCGCCCCTAGATAGAGCACCGTGTCTGCATTGTATTGCCTTGAAGGCAATGGCTGGTGTTTTTACAGAGCTGTCTAAAATCTCAGTTCTCTTCTCATTTAAGAAAAGCTGCTTCTTGTGTACATCTTTTGATTTGGACTTCAAATCGCTGAGAAACTTTGATATAAATCAGTCTATTTGAAATGTGCACTAAAAAAGAATAAAAGGCTGATTTTGAGCGTTATAACAAGACCTTAAAAAGAAACAAATTATTCTAAATTGCTTCTCTTAAATGAAAGACTTCCCTACATCCAGATGGTATTATTAAAATTAGATTACCTTCAACTTTCTGATAGTTTTGTATTGAAACTGATTCCAACTCATCAGAGCACACTGTACTCTCACTATTGTGCTGACCAGTCCAAACTGCTCCTCAGAAATTCTCCTTTCACTCCTCACAGAGGACTGAGTTTATTTCTACAACAAGCAGCATTGCATAATTCAGATAAAGGGGAAGCACTAAAATAGATACCAGCCACCAAAAATTCCAATAGAAGACTTTAACTGCACAGTTACTTCCATCCAAGAGAGACACTTAAAATCTAAAATAATGGTTTCCATGAAAATAATAGCATCTGCTCTTCTCCACTCTCCTTCAAGAGCCTGGGCCCTTTCAGGGGACTGGCACACACTGACACACAGTGGCACACACTGACACACACTAGCACACACACACACATTGGCACACACTGACAAACACTCTGGCACACAGTGGCACACACTGACACACAGGCACACACTGACACACACTAGCACACACACACATTGGCACACACTGACAAACACTCTGGCACACAGTGGCACACACTGACACACAGGCACACACTGGCACACACACTGACACACAGTGGCAGCTTGCTCAGCACACCAAACTTCTAGGCCAACACAGAGCATGTCCCCGATAACATCACAGGGCACTGTTCTAAAAATCACACACTGGCCACGTTTTCTAGAGAGCCTGCCATCTTGGAGGGCTGCACGGTCAGCAAAGGTTTGGGGCAGATTACAGGAGGACACAGCTGAGGGACTGACAGAGAACTAGAGCAGGACACTAGTGGGTTTCCTCTCAGCTCTGGACCAGCCCGACACCACATGCGCTCAGCGGCCACTTACTCTGGTCAGCGTAATTCCGGGCCTTCAGCTCCAGCTGGCGTGTCTGCGTCTCACAGTGCTCCACCTGCAGCTGCAGCTCCTTCTTCTCCTGTTCCAAAGCATCTTCAAACTCGATGAACTTCTACACCAAAGGGAGAGAGAAGGTGGGTCTGCGGGGCACTCGCTGGACATCAGCAGTAGGTGGCGGCCAGAGGCCTCTGCTCCAGGCCAACCCTGGAGACTCCAGGATGCAGGGACTGAGAGGTTCATGGCATCTCCAGGGCAGGACCCATGTGGGAGACTTTGCACCTTGGATACTGGGTGCATCCCACCTTACATCCCTCTGTTACAGACGGAGTTGTGTCTCCCAGAAAGAGACAAGTCCTCGCCCTTGTCCAGTGAGCATGACCTTGTTTGCAAACTTTTTAAATGAGGTCACACTGGAGAAGGGTGAGCCCCTATCCCAGCTGAGTGGTGTCTGTCTTAAAAAGTCAGGGAGACATACCCAGAGGAAAGATGGTAAGGGTCATGGCACAAGAGGGAGAGACAGAGGGACACTGACGCTACAAGCCAAGGAGTGTCTCCAAGCACCAGAAGCTGAGAGCCATCGAACTCATCTTCCAAGTTTGTCCCTGCTGATGCCTGCAGACCCCCAGCCTCCAGAATGGATAGAACACATTTCTGTTCTTCCGGGGCCCCTGGTACGTGGTCTCTCCAAGAAAACCTCTACATAGGAAGTGGCAGTGGGGGCTTTCCACACAGCATCTCAAGATTACAGATCTATAGGACTTTCTAAGCAGTATGCACTCTTTCTCCCATCCAAATGTCCTAGGAGAATTCGGTGTGGTGTGTATGCGGAGGGCTTATCGATGGTGTGAGCCCTGTACAGTCCTCCTTAGAAGGGAGCTGTACTGGATTGAACAGCCTACTTGGAATTTCTAATCATCTCTGAACCAGGGAGGGACCCACAAACCCTGCAGCAGTCCTGCCTGCAATAGAGAAATGGTGCTGGTATGTGCTGTGGCGTTGGTTCTGACCTATGTTGTTGTTGTTAAGTTGTTAAGTACATGGCGTTGGTTCCGACTCATAGTGACCCTGCACAGGGTTTCTGAGGTTATAAATCTTTACGGGAGCAGAAAGCCTCATCTTTCCCCCATGGAACGGCTGGTAGTTTCTAACTGCCGACCTTGAAGTTAGCAGCCCAATTCGTAACCACTACGCTACCTTTTTGTGAAGTGCCATCAAGTCAGTTCTGATCCACAGCGATCCTGTATAGGGTTTCCATGGAGCAGCTGGTGAGCTTGAACCACCAACCTTGCAATTCAAACAGCTTTGCAGTCGAGCACATTAACCCACAGCGCCACCCCAGGACTCCAATATTCTAACCTATACTCCTTGCTATAGTAAGCATCAAAACAGAGTATTGTCTACTTTCCTCTTAGCCTGCGTTTCAACCCCTAGTCAGCTGAGAAGGCCATCGCTACTGGCAGAACCAGAAACACAACACATTCCTCCTGCTCCTCAGAAAAAATGGGGATGTCCAGATCAGAGTCCCTGGGCGGTACAAATGGTAATGCCAACGGAAAGGTTGGTGGTTCAAACCCACTCAGAGGCAATGTCTGGTGCTCTGCTTCTAAAAACTCAGTCACTGAAAACTCTATGGAACACAGTTCTGATTTGACATATATGGGGTCAGTAGAACTGCAAGGTTGGCGGTTCAAGCTCACCAGTTACTCCTCGGAAACCCCATACAGGGTTGCTATGAGTCGGAATCGACTTGACGGCACTTCACAACAACAACGAGTTAATTGAAGAGACAACTGGCTTGTTATTTTTAGATTTGGAATCTTGACCTTACATGGCAAGTTCTTGAGCAAAATAAAAGACACTCCTGAAAGGTCTGGGAGCTGCTACAAATACCTCAGCTTTGCCGGTTTGGAAACTGAGGCTTACTATATGGAAACTGAGAGACTGCATTTGTAGGAGCATAAATACCAGCTGGGTGTTTGGAGGCAGAGAGCTTGGCAGAAGCTGGGGAGGTGAAACAGACCACTGACTTCATGCTCTAGAAGAGGCAGGTTAGTCTGTGGTGGCTAAGACTGTTTCCTGGAATAACTCTGGCCTACCCCCTCCTAGCTCCATATCCCGGAGATGCTTCTGACAGTGGCTTCTAAAAGCTCTTGGTACTGGAAGTCACTGGGGCTCCTACCCAAAGGATGACTCACCCTGAGTGTGTCCTGTGTGTAAGGCGGGCGGAGAGCCCTGGGAGTGGAGGGGGAGAGACCACAGGAGCTGTGGGATTTGGCAGGAGCCAGGTCAGCTGACACAAGTGAAGTGAAGGGCAAGGCGCACACTGCAGATGCAGAAACAAAGCGCATTATTAGCTCACTGCGCAGAGCGGCCGGAGCTAGCACCGTACGTGATGCTTTGTTTGATACAGGCGTTACAAAATAAGGTGCTTCCAATTCCTCTGGTTCATTACAAAAATGAAAAACAATGACACAGGTAACGTGTTTGTAGAAAAAGAATCAGATGAATTTTAGGCAAAAGGCAGTTTGTTTTTTGAGCATAATGCTATCACCCAGAGTCAGCTCCAACACAAGTGTTCTCCCAGCCTGTCTCTGTGCATATAGATGTGTGTGTGCAGGGCAGATGTGTGATCATTCTGTAACCTGCATTATTCCTTATTTATATCGGAAGTCTTTCTACATCAATACAAGCATGAGGGGCCTTCAGAGAGTTCATGGGGAATCCCATTATCTTTTCATTCCATCTTTCTGTCATTTCCATCCTAGTGGGGTCATGGATTATCTACAGTCCCCCCAAATGTTTCGACCTCGCTGGGTATGGGTAAGAGAAGGTGGGAGAAAACACAGAGGACTTCCTGACAGGATTCAGCTGTGGAGGTTTACAGAGATCGCTGTAACGGGAAAAACGGGAAACTCTAGCATGGGTTTAAAATGAGCCATCTCAAGGAGCGTGGGGGATCTCACTACCATCAAAGAGACAGGAGGGAACCTGGAGACCCCTGTGCATTGAACCTCCTCAACCCAGGGACAGAAATCTGTGTCACCAGAGGAGGAGCAGAGCAGTGGACTTCCCAGCGTGTGGAACCAGTAAAGCTGAATGACTTGGGCAGCGGGCACTTATGTGTAGGTTTGCTGGCCTACACTGTGTTGAGTCGAGGACCTTCAGGCCGAGGTGTACAGTGGAGTGGTGTGCCCTGTGGGCATTTATCAGCAGCTGACTGGAATAAATGTGTCCTGAGCATTTTCTGATCCTGGTGTGTACCATGTAAACTTCCCCATAGCTGTGAGCATTGTGTCTGAGTTGTGTGTGGCCACTGCAACGGATTCTCCTCATAGTGACAATACTGAGAAGCAGAGACTGCTGTGGGAGGAACGGTTGGTGGCACCGAGATGTGCAGTTCTTAATAGGGGTAGGTTCCCATGTGAGTGTGTGAGCGTGTGTGTGCGTACAGTGTAGTTCACCCAGTCAGTCACCTATCACTGTGTGACACCCCAATCACATGACTGCGTCTCCCTGTGCTGACCACTGACCATCTACTGGGTGACACTGTGTTCATTCACAGATGCTTGACCACCACTGATACTGAATGCATTTTCATAAATGTGTTGGTTATATATACAAGGGGGCTTCAAATTTTTCCTGGAAAAATATAATGGGATTTTTTTTCCACGAAAAAGTTGAAGCCCCCTCATGCATAGCCTCCTTCATGCACAGCTATTCTGCACTTTGGCCCATTTTCTACCACTGCATTCATGTTCTTCGCATTGATTGGCAATGTCTTCTATCAGACATGTTCAAAAACCATTCTTAAGTCGATACGTTTACTTAGTAACTTCTCCTTTTTTCATTGCTTTGAAATACCACCTTTATCTTAGAGTAAATTCTAATATATACTTCCGTCTACTTCTGATCTTTCTGCATTGTTCCATTGATTTGTCTGTTCCTAGAGACAGTATGAAGGATTTCTTGTGGCACAGGAGTTAAGCACTTGGCTGCTAACTCAAGGGTTGGTGGTTTGAACCCACCAGATGCTCCTCTGTAGAGACATGGGGCAGTCTGCCTCCGTGAAGAGCACTTTGAGTCTGTCCTGTAGGGTCACTGTCAGTCAGAACTGACTATAGGCAGGGTTTGCTTTGGCTTGGGTTGGAGGCAGTTCCAAAGAATCATCTGGATTACAGCATAACTTACAGTGTCTTCTAATACCTACACATTTCCCCACTTGTGTCTTATTTTCTTAATACCCGGCACATCAGCATCTTTGGGACCATTCCCACTCAACCTCCAGATGACCCCGAGAGTCATTCTCAGGCACTCACGGTGCTTTGTGCACATTCCTGTCAGAACACACCTGTTCTCTGCTCCTTGGGAAAGGGTCCCGTGGGGTTTCCACATGGAAGTACTCAGGGCTGGGTGTGGCCGGGAGAAAGGCCATCTTGTGCCTGTGGAGAACGCTGATGGGGACCAGGGCGGGACGAGGAAGGTCTTACTTTCTCTGGACCCATCACGGCCTACCTCTGCGCAGCACTACCACGCTATGTGCAAAGACCACGGTGCTTTCTTGGGGGCAAGTAGTACCTCACCGGAGTCCTGGTGTGTCGCTGTAGGATAAGCACTGGACTGCTAACCACAAGGCTGACGGTTCAAATTCACCAGCTGCTCAGTGGAAACCCTATACAGGCTCGCTATGGGTCAGAAAGGGCTTTCAGCAAGCATAACACCCACCTCACTAGAACCTGTTGTGCACCTGTCTCTCCCCAACGCACCTGCAGGCGCTCCCGAGGCCGACGGAGACTGCCCTCGGGTCCATCCTGCAGGTGAGTTCCCAGTGCAGCACACAGGGGTCCTCTCCCGTGATGACAGCTCAGGACACCCCAAGGCAGTCTAAGCAGCAGAGACCAGGGGGGCCTCCAGTCCAAAGACACACACGCTGGAAAACCCAGTGTGGAGTCGGCTCTGACTCAGAGACTCTGCAGAACAGAGAGGAAGTGCAGCACGCCATTCCTAAGGCTGGTCAGCTACGCAAGCCGATTGCTACACCTTTCTCCTGTGTAGCAGTTGGTGGGTTTGAGCTACTGACCTTCCAGTTAGCAGACAAGTGCTTTCACCACGGTG